ACGAGTCAAACTAACCCAGGTCAGTCACGTCAGTCACTTACACAAATGGAACATAATGGTTACAGCATTTTTGTATTTTCCTCAGCGTTTTTGCTCCTGGTTTCCCTTGTAGCCTTTTGGTCATCTGACCACTGGGTGGCCTCTTTGGCACTTCTATTGGGGGTGGTAGGGATCCTTGGTGCTGTGGGCGGCTAACGGGTTGCTAAGCTCAGCCTAAGGGTGCCACCCAGCCAACTTGTGGAAACAGGAGGAATAAGAAATTGTTGTCTAAACCTCTGACTCTGTCAGCAGCAGCAGGTAATGGGGGTTCCAGCTACACATAAGCTGGATCTTCTTTGCCTGTCTTCCACATCTATCCATTTGTCACCATGCTTTTATCTCTTCACACTTGACTTTTTCTTCTCTGCCATTTATTTCCCGATACTGTTTCCCATGGCGTCTATTCACTTTTGTTCTTTTTCTAGTTTGGTCTCCGTTTCTGACTTTTTTTTTTCTTTTTCTTTCTAATTCATTCCCGAGTCTGGAGGCAATCTTTTCACAACCTCCTTCTGTCTGGCTGTCACATTTCTGGGCTTTTCTATTTCTGACTTACGCTGTTCTTCTATAACTGTATCACTTTCTTAGTATCTCTGCTCTTTCTGAAATACTGCGGAACTATGTCATCTGCTTTGTGGTCATACGTTCCTGATTCACCTTCACTGTTACTCAGATCGTCGTCCTCTTTTTTCTTACAGTGTCTTTGTGTGGCACAACTACACTCCTTTTCTGTTGCTTATTTTTAAATGAGATGTGTTTTCTTGTGTTTTTGAGAGCAGGTTCTTCTGTTTGGGATGGAAATGGGCCAGCCCAGGGCTCCCTCTGCAGCTGTGACATAAAGGATTAGCAGTTATGGACTTTGTGCGGCTACTGCCACAGCACGTGGTCTCCACTCCCTCTGGATCCTGTCCCCCCAGTATTTGAAACTTCTCTCCACTTCACCCTCAATGTTCCTGCCCAGCTCAATGTGGATTTTTTCCCCAACACTGTGTCCTTAGTGTGGGCTCTGTCCTTCTGGAAGAAGGTTCTGGAAGATATTCTGGAGTGCTTTGAGGCCTTGGGCACTCACCCTCAACCTGGAGCCAGGGACAATTTGCCCAGTTTCTGACAGACCTTTACTAGCTGGGCTCTTTTCTGGGTCCTCTGGTCTTGACATCGTCTGAATTCTCTTTTCTCTTTCCTCTACCACCCCCTGCCAGGCTGCTAACCCCACATGAGTGTTGTGCTATCGGTGGTTTGGCCCCACCCCTTGCATTTTGGAATTCACGGGGATACCCTGATGCCTACTTTTGATTTAAAGTACATGCGTTTTCTGTGGCTGCCATAAGAAGTCACCACAAACTGGGTGGCTTGAAACAGTCAGAATTTATTCTCTCACAGTTCTGGAGGCAGAAGTCCAAAATCTAGGGTGTCAGCAGGGCCATGCTCCCGCTCTGAGGCTGTAAGGGGAATCCTTCCTGCCTCTTGCAGCTTCTGGGAGTTTCCAGCACCCTTGGTCCTCCTGGGCTTGTGGATGCATCGATTCTAATCTCTGCTTCTGTCCTCATGTCATACCTTCCCTGTGTCTTCACATCATCTTCCCTCTGTGTATGTCTCTGTGTTTAAATTCTCCTCTCCTTATAAAGCCACCACTTATTGGATTAGGGCTCACCCTATCTCCATATGACCTCATCTTATATCAATGACATCTGCAAAGACCCTGTCTTTAAAACAGGTCACATTCCAAGGTCCGACGGGTTAGGATTTAAACATATCTTTTTGGGAAACACAATTCAGCTCACAATGAAGAGGTTGTGTGTTTCTTTTGTCCTTTCTGTTTTTCCTTTTGCTATCCTGGTTGCTGTCTGCTTTGTGAGGGGATTTGGGGGAAATTCAAAATCTATGCTATTGCCACCACCGTGCCCCAACACAGAACCCACAGTTGTGTTCCAAGCACACGTCTACAGAACATTGATTGTTCACAACTTCATAACCAAACCCAAGGCAAAGTGATTCTCTAGAGGAGAAAGGGAGCTCTCACCTCCGAGAGGTAGCAGACCCTCGGTGGGGCTCCTTTCAGGTCCAGATGAACTAGTCGCATCTTAAATGGTGAGCAACCCGACATCGTACTATTTTTTGTGAAGTCATGTGACAAAAAAACCTCTTGTCTGGGCACTTCTTCCTAGTGGAGAAATTCAGGGTTATAGACTCCAGAGTCTCAACTGGCCTGGTCCTTCCAATGTCTGTTTCAATTCTGATATGAACTGGGAGGAAACTCATTTCACCAACATGAAATCGAATCAAGATGTCTGTCTCGGGACTTCCCTGGTGGTCCAGGGGTTAAGACTCCATGCTTCAGACTTCCCTAGTGGCGCAGTGGTTAAGAATCCACCTGCCAATGCAGGGGACATGGGTTCGAGCCGTGCTCCGGGAAGATTCCACATGCCGCGGAGCAACTAAGCCCGTGCGTCACAACTACTGAGCCTGCGCTCTAGAGCCCACAAGCCACAACTACTGAGCCCGCGTGCCACAACTACTGAAGCCCGTGCACCTAGAGCCTGTGCTCTGCAACAAGAGAAGCCACCATAATGAGAAGCCCACGCACTGCAACAAAGAGTAGCCCCTGCTTGCCACAACTAGAGAGAAAGCCCGTGCACAGCAACGAAGACCCAACAGCAGCCAAAATAACTAACTAACTAACTAAATTAATTAATTAATAAAAAGACTCCATGCTTCCACTACAAGGGGCATGGGTTTGATCCCTGGTCGGGGAACTAAGATTCCACATGCCATGCAGCACAGCCAAATAAAAAAAAAAGGATGTCTGTCTCCATGTTCAAACATAGGGACCCTTGCCATTTAGTTGTGATTTGTCCCTAAAATAGAACAGCACTGTTTCCTTATAAGATGACTATAATCTGTAATAACACAAATGACTGCAAAATAATTTCTTGTTTTAAAGACCCTCTTATCCTATGTATACTATGCCAGTGAAAACAGGCAAATATCTCAAACACTTTCCAGGCCCCACAATATGATGTTTTTGTAGAAAATTTATCCTCAATTTGATTCTACTTTAAATAGCGTTAAAAACAATTATGTTTCTAGAATTCGAGTCAGCTTGGTTGTACAGAGGAAGAAGCTCTAAAAATTTATTCTAGGTCAGAGAAAACTATCTATGATTTAAAACAGGCCATTGATAACTTAAAAAACAAGTAAGCCACAAGTTTATCAGTGCTGGCTAGTTTATGTTCAACTAGAGAAAGCAGCTGGATGATACTGAAGCAGCTGGGAAACAGTGAAATCTTATTTCTTCTATCATAAAACACAAAGGATTAGATTGGAAAACGAAAGAAAATCTTTGTACATTGGTCATATATTCAGCTCAGTAATTCAAACTACTCATTCTGTGCAAGGATTCATAAATCCCTGACCTTAAGGAATCCATAATATAGCAGAGGAAATAACATAATGCACACAGAAACCAATCAGTCTGATTTTTTTAAGAATAAACTATATTCAAGACAGTCTTAATGACAAAGTTCTTAAAGCAATTACCTAAATTACCACTGAGAAGTGGATGAGTTTAAGCCAAAGCATTCTGAAAAACTGCAATGTTTTAAAGTTGAATTGTTTTACATTTAAAAAATAACCCCCCCCCCAAAAAAAAACCCAAATCTATTTTCCTGGGAATAGAATTGAGAGAAAAACATTTTAAAAAAAAAAACTATTTTCCTGGCTGCGTCGTGCGGCATGTGGGATCTTAGTTCCCCAAGGATCGAACCTGTGCCCCATGCATTGGAAGTGCAGAGTCTTAACCACTGGACCACCAGGGAAGTCCCAAAAGAAAAAATTTTGAGCTGAGAAGTCTGCATTGGTCCTGTGTGTGCCTCCTCGTGTTCAGAAAGAAATCCTTCTATTATTCCTGTAGCCCTAGGGCAGGAATGAACACAACATCTTACCTGCATCAGACACATTCAGAGTTGTTTACCAATGTAAGTTGCTGCAAAATCTAAAGGAAAAGGAGAGGGAGAATTCAGTAATCCGTCTTGTGAGTGTATAGTTCTTTGCTTTGATTCCCTCCTGCAGTGAAGTCTATAGAAATGTGATTATTTCAAAGACTTGGGTCAACTGTCATTATTGTTACCAGACAACCTTTCAGGTCTGCAATTGTCCCAGTTCCTCGGGCTTCCAGGTAAGTTACCAGGAAATGGCATCTGATTTCCCCAGTTTCGGGATTGTTGGGCAGATCTCTTTTCTTGTTCAGTGAGTCTAAGTAGGTTTTCTTTTCCCCCTGTATCAGTAAATTACTCACCTTCTTCAGACTTAATCCTCATGAATGAACCTCACTGCTAATTCCACTCTTTCAGAATCAGGTATCTCCACAGGGCTGGTTAAGATCTTACTTCTTGCCCACTGGACATAAGGTTCTCTAGGGAAACTGAATGCTGTAAACAAAGCAGCAGGGCCTAACGGATACATGTGTACTGAGCACCAACTAGACCCAGTGCCCTCCGGTGTGGCATGGGCCGGGGGAGAGGGGCGTGGAAACCCCACAGAAGAGGGTGCGGAGTCCCTGGGAGGAGGGGCTTGGAGACCCCGGGCGGGGAAAGGGCTTGGAGAGCCCCGGGAGGAGGACTTGGATACCCCCGGGAGGTGGGCTTGGAGACGCCGGGAGAGCACGCACGGCGGGGCGAGGACACACGTCAGACGAAGGCTTGGAGACTCGTCGGGTTCCGCGGAGGGCAGGGGAGGAGGAGGGGGCAGGCAAGGGCGGGCGCGCCGCGGATGCCCTCAGGTCCCCGTTCCGCCCCGCTCGGCGCTCGGCCTCCGATTGCTCAGGCCTGGCCACCAGACCGGAGGTCGAAGGCGGAACGCGTCGCTCCGCGTCCCCGGCCGCGCTGGTCTCGCGCTAACTCTCGCGGCGCTCGTCTCGGGCTTGCGGCGGATCCCGCGTTCGACCCGGCTCCGCGGCGGCCTGGCCAATGGCACCTCAGAGGAGGGGCGCTCCCAAGGTGCCCGAGGGCAACCGGGAGGCGGACCGCCGGCGCCCGAGCAGGTACTGAGCAGCGCCGGGATCGCGCGGACGGCGGCGAGGTCGGGGCCTGGTCGAGGGGGTGGGGCCTGGCCTGGAGGGGCCTGGCCTGGAGGGGCCTGGCCTGGAGGGGCGGGGGCGTGGTGTGGCGGGGCTGTGGGCGTGGCCCGGTCAGGAAAGGCTGGACCTAGCGTGGGCGGGGCCTTTCCCGGACCGGGCCTGCAGTGTGGGTGTGGCCTGGCCTCCAGGGGCCAGGTACATGCTTGGGCGAATCGGGCTCTAGAGGGGTGTGGTCTGTCTGGAGGGCGCGGCTTGAAGAATCCCGCGAGGCCCGCGCCTGGAGGGTCGGGGCTGGGTGGGGGGCGGCCCAGGAGGGGGCAGTATCGTCGGGAATCTTCTCTGACCTCTCTTACCCATGTGTACCAGGGGGGCCAGATGAATGAAAAAGTGATCTCATCACGTAGCCTTCGAGGGGATTCTGCCTGCCAGGGGTGTATTTTAATCATTCCAGGATAAATTACCTTGTCGTCGTGCTTGCCCCATGGGCCATGGACCTTGCTCCAAATCCCCTTCTGTTTTGGCAAGATTCTAGGGGTGCAGCTTGAGCGAGCTTACCCTGAACAGGGGTGCTTATTTTGAGGAGACCTCCAGGGGAGTGTTGCATCCGAATCTGGCCCAGGAGGCTGTTTTTTCCCCTCTTGTCTCTGTACCTTCCTCTCTGTCCCTTTCTGTCTCAGCAGCCGGGCTGTTCCAGGCGAAGGTGTCACCCACAACTTTGCACCTGCAGTTAGGATTCCAGCCCCTGCTGCTGAGATGGGCGGGCAGTCTCCCTGACCCATTCGGAATTGGGGAAGAGAAATGATGGGGCCACCGGAGTGAGGTGTCCACCCTGGTGTAATTAGAGGAGGCCAGGTGGGCTGGAGGCTAGACAGCAGTTCTAGGAGTGGGGGTGGGGGTCTTTGTGTTCTGGGCAACTATGCTCCCTGTTTAAAATGATCATGTATTCACCCAACCTAGTCTGAGTGAGCTGTGCCCACCTTGGGATTTATTTAATCGGAATTTGTGTGTTATATATATAGCAATTTGAAGTGTGGAGAGACATAAAAGTAGAAGGCAGGCTCTCTACTTTTAATCATATACTTGAAGACATGAGGTGCACCTCCTGAAAGGATGCCTGGATCTCTTTTCTCATTTCTGCCAGTGCTTCAAGCCCTTCACATTTTTCTTAGATCACAGAGTGCATGGCTGCTCAGTTACACACACGTGAAAACACACGTGCATGTACACAGACACAGATATGCATGGTTATATACCACCCAAACACACATAGACACACATGTGCACACACACACAGACATCCCTACAACTTCTGCACAGGCAGTGTGAATCTCACAGTTAACCCAGGTGGTACAGAAAGTGTCTTACTGGTGAATCATTTCTGTTGTACTTATATTCTCTTTGTGGCTGGCTGGTGGTTTTAGTGAAGTGGGCTTGACTCATGCTTAACTTACTTCACATTGTGTGTGTGTGTGCACACGCGCATGCACACGCATGTGCACTGGGGCCACATGCATGGGGCTGTGGCAGTCATTTTTGGATGCAGGCAACGTGATCGGTGCCACAGACTCTGCCAGGACCTCCCAGACAGGTTCTCCATGGGCCTGGCCAGGCTGGGAGGAACACCAACAGGCAGTTCATCTTGTTGCCCTTGGGAGCAAGTGAGCCCTGTCTGGTCATATGGGGTGAGGGGCACATTCCCCACCACGTCCTCCCATGCTGGTGAGTGCCTCTGGATTGATTGAGAGTAGCTCTGACAACGGCCAGCGTGGGAACAGTTTAAGGCTGTAACTAAGGGTGGGTGTGGTCTCTGGTCATTGTGGTCTGCATTTTCAGCACATGCAGGTGCATTTGGGTGACCACAGCTGTTTTCTTTTCTCAGCACCAAGAGTGTCCGGGCGTCTCAGGATGTGTGTAAGAAGTGGCTGAGAGTTGCTGTCCTGGGGGCCTGCACCGTGCTCGTCGCGCTCCTGCTCTGGGGCAGTCTGCGGGGTGATGACAGGATCACTGAGGTCCTAGCTCATCGAAGTGAGGTCCTGCCAGGCAGGTTCATCGAGGTGCCCTGCTCCGAGGACTATGACAGTCACCGAAGGTTTGAAGGTACACGATGCCGAGGTGATCCGGGAAAGAGCAGCATGTTAACATGGAATTCAGTGTGTTCAAAATGCGTCTTTTTTTGCTACAATGAATTGATGGGAATCAGGTTGAAAGTAGTGTGGGGGTGGCGTTGGGCAGGTGACCTTCCTCAACGCCCCCCTGCTGCCCCCCTCCCCCGCCCCCAGTTGGTTAGCCCATACCTGGACCCGGAAGTGTGGGTGTTTCAGGCCCTGCCTGTGCAGGGGCAGGCCCACTGGTCACTGCCCAGGCCTCACTGCCCAGACTGTGGCCAGTGTTTCACTGAGGTCCCCCACACTGTGGGTGCCATCTGATGGAAGAGGCGGTTTGCCTGGAAGGATGTAACAGAACTGGGATGATAGTAATGAGCAAGTGGAACCCAGAAAAGGCATTTTCTGTCTTAGGGTGTTGTTACTACAGAAAATGTTGCAACAGGGAACGTAGATACCAGAGGCCCTTCCCCCATGTCGTGTGCCCCATCCCAGCACCTGCCTCCTCTGCACGAGGGCAGTAGTTTTAAAAACCTAACCAGAGTGACTGGGTTTTTTTTTTTTTTTTTTTTTTTTTTTTTTTTTTTTTCTTGCGTTATGCGGGCCTCTCACTGTTGTGGCCTCTCCCATTTGCGGAGCACAGGCTCCGGACGCGCAGGCTCAGTGGCCATGGCTCACGGGCCCAGCCGCTCCGCGGCATGTGGGATCTTCCCGAAACGGGGCACGAACCCGCGTCTCCTGCATCGGCAGGCGGACTCTCAAGCACTGCGCCACCAGGGAAGCCCGTGACTGGGTTTTAAAGACAAAATTCAGTTTATTTTTCTCTTCAGAGCAATGCTTTGGACTTGAACCAAGAAAATATTGCTAAATCCTTCCACCAAGGGGCGCCATTGTGATGCACACAAGCGGGGTTTAGACGAAGGGAGGCAAAGAGGCGCCCAGGGAATGGGGGCTGCCTTTCCCCTCAGGGGTCAGGAAAGTGGATAGGTTCTGTTGTGGGCATGCTCTCTCTGTCTTGGTCAGCTTTTTCACTCTAAAGTCATAGCTTTTGAGAATGTATTTTTCCTACCCATTTAATAATTTATCAACATTAAAAACAGTTGGAATGAGGTGGAGGGGGAGTTAGTGGAGACGGGTATGGGTTTTCAGTTGGGAAGATGAGAATGTTCTGGAGATGATGGTGGGGATGGTTGTACAATAACGTGATCGTAGTTAATGCCTCTGAACTGTATACTTTAAAATGGTTAAAATGGTAAATTTGGGGTTATATATATTTTACCAAAAAAAAAAAAAAAAAAGGTGGAGTGTGCATTAAAGCCTCTGGACTCCCCCTCCCTCGCCCCTCTCTCTCTGCCTGCCCTGGGCCTGTGTGTCTGGGTGGTATGTGTGTGTGTTCGCAGCGTGTGCACTCGTGTATGTGCACTGACATCGTCAGCCACTCACAACTCACTTTCTTACCAAATTATGCTTTTGATGCTCATTCACGTTGAGCCTATTGTGTCGCTGCTGGATTTTAAGATTTCAAGGTCAATGGGGTTTGGGTTCTCTCTAATTGCACTGTAGCTGGAGACTGTAACCTGTATGGTGCAGACCTTGTGACGCTGAACTGACTTTCCTTTTGGGCTAATATGTCTTTGTTAACGTTGCACGTGTACCTGGAAAAGTGTGTGTTTCTGAATGGTTGCTACAGAGCTCTGCGTGCTTCCTAGTTCACGCTCACGAGTGCACACTGTCTTCTTGAACTACTGTCTTGCCGTCCACAGTTACTGGGAGCCGCGAGGCAGGGTCTCCACTGAGACTCTGGGTCTGGTGGTCGCTTCGCCACCAGAGGTGTTTGAGGCGATGTCACTTGGTGCTTTTGTTGCCCCTGCATCTTCCTGGTGAAACTGTTCCTGTTATCAATCTTTTCCCCTCTCACAATTCTTTTGTGTTAAAATGTATTTGTTGATATGATGTCGCTCCCCAAGCTGTCTTTTGGTTATCTTTGTTTTTGCCTTTACCTTCAACCTTTATAAAAAGCATTTTTGTGTCTTAATAAAGACACCTGTATTAGTAGATTGTATTTACCTCCGTGGAACTGAGGCACCCCTCCCCTAATGACCCCCACGTAGAAGTTTATTTTTCCCACATGATGAGACCCAGAAAAAGGCACCCCAGGCCAGCCTGGCTCCCTGTAAGCGCCGCAGGCCGAGCTCTCCCACTTAGCGTGTGGCTCACATGGTCCCAGGCCAATCGCTCCACCTCCAGGCACGTTCCAGGCAGGAAGAGAGAAAGGAGGATGAAAGCTAAAGGTCAGCCAGCCCAGTGTGTCCTGAGAGTGTCCCAAGGCCCCATCTCATCGGCCAGGACGTATCCTAGGGCCCACCCAGTGTAAGGCAGCCAGCCTGCCCTTGGCACCAGGATACCAGGGGCTTGCTAAGCTTGTCCATCTCTGGTGCTCTGCCTCATCCTGGCCCCATCTACCTGACCCTGGCCCTTTCCACCCTGACCCTGGCCTTGTCCACCCCAACCCAGTGGCAACCCTGGCCCTGTGCTCCCGACCCTGGCCACTTTCACCCCGACCCTGGCCCCATCCAATCTCCCCCATCCTCCTCCCTCTAAGCAGCTCAGTCCTGGGTGCAGAGGCAGGAGGAGGCAGGGTGGAGCGTGTGGTGAGTACCTTGGGGCAGCTTTGCCAGGCCCTGCAGAAGGACAGTGACTACAGTTGCAAGCACAGCTTTGGTCATCCAGGAGGCACTAGCCAACGGGTCTGAATCTGTGGTCAGTGATGGTTCTAGAATACCGTGGATGCCGCCTCTGGGCTGTTTTCTCAAGGGTGGGCAGAGTGTCAGTTGCTTCAGGAGTGACCTGCCTGGTGTGGGGCTGCCAGGACCACCCCCTCCCAGTGAGATGTGTGCGCCGCAGGGGTTCTGCTTGTACTGGAAAGTCACCGTTGCTTCTCTGAAATTCACATCTGACCGAGTGGCCTATATTTTATTTGCCAAACCTGGCCCCCTAATCCCATGGAAGGCAAGGCCCCATCCCACAAAATTCCATTGTCCCTGGGGAGGGCCGCCCACAGGTGAGTCCTTGACAGCAGCGGGCAGCTCTTTAGTCGGGGTTCAGCGGGGGTGGCGTCTCATCCCGGCTCGACTCTCTCCAGGCTGCTCCCCGAGGAAGTGTGGCCGGGGCGTCAGCGATGCCATCATCACCAGGGACGAAGCCCTGAGGATTCGCAGGTACACGTGTCTCTGAATTTCTGTCCTGAACGAGCAGGAGAGTGGGGCTGTGGGTGAAGCACAGAGAATTACTACTAAAAGGATGATTTAGAGAAATTCGTTAGAATTCCCTGACAATTCCCCTTTGCACTTCCAAGGCAAAGAGGGGCTTTTCTGATTTCCAGGAGAGGCTGTTGTCATCAGTGATGCAGTTGCTGATGGAACCTTCCAGAGGCCTGGGCCCTCTCCAGAGGCAGCAGTTCTGGCCCAGTGGGGAGGTTGGGGGGATGCTCTCCCGTCAGCCATTGAGGGGCCCAGCAGGTGCCTGTGTAGAGACAGTGTGTCCACCCAGCAGCCCCAGGCGGTCACTAGACTATTTTCGTCTCCTCTCCAAAACTGGTTGGGGTAGCCCTTCTGCCTCCTAGCCGTGACTCATGACAGGGCACGAAGTCTTACTCAGAAGTAGTTGGCACTGGATTCTTCCTTATTGTCTTTTAAAAACAAGATCTTGAAGCTCTGATTTTCCAACAAGGAGTTCAGACACAAGCATGTGCCCAGTGGAGCAGTGTCTGGTCCGCATGCGGAGCTGCGTCTTGAGGGGAAATGCTCCTTCTGTTTCTAGATAACATTGTAGAGGCTGGTTGGGTGGGGAGGGTCCCTGTGTGTGAGGGATGGATCCAGCCCCCAGTCAGTTTCCTGGGCGGCCATGAAGCGTGTGTCAAAGGCACCAGAAGCCCCTGCATCTTTGGTGACGTGGGTGGTCCTGTGAGCTCCAGCACAGGCCACCATGTGGCCTCTGCCTCCTGAGCTGGTGATTACAAAGGCTGCCCCCCAGCCTGTGATGACAGGAGAGGGACCTTCCAGTCCAGAGGAACCCATTCAACTCAGCACCAGGTCTCTGAGCTAAAGATGGAAACTAAGCCCACTTGTCCCCAAGCTATGTCATATGTGGTTAAGTAGATGGTGACAAAATATTAACATTTACTCACTTAGCTTGAAAGTCAAGTCCTTTGGTCCAAACATGTGATTTTGTCATAAACGTTAAGCAGTCTGTTAACGTTGTGTTAGTTGTGCTGATTGATATGTGTCTAGATGTATCATAGATGATGCTGTTAACTGAATTCTGATTTAAGACGGTCTTCCCCACAGCATAGCTGAGAAGGGGCTGTCCCTAGGAGGATCAGACGGAGGGGTGAGTTGTGTGCCGTTCCTGCTTCGGTTTTCTTTTTACCCCTTTAACTTTGCTCTTCCTCCGAGGGGAAGGCGAGGGCACCAGGTGTGCAGGCCCTGCCCCTGGGAATGAAGTGCCCCCTCCCTTCACAGGAGGGCTGCCTCGGATCACATCTTTGTGTCAGGCACCCTGGCTGGGGGCAGTGGGGGGAGGTCGTAGGCAGTGAGTGAACAGAGCGGGTGACGAGCAGCGGCCCACTGAGGAGGGTGACGGCCCTTGGGAATGGGAGAGCCAGCACACACAGGAGGAGCTGGTGGGAAACAGTGAGGACCATGCAAGGTGGAGGAGGCTCCCACAGGTGCTGCGTGGGGACTGTCATCCACCAGGTGAGACTGCAGGGGGTCTAACAGTGGCCCCTGAAAGATGCATCCACCCAGAACTGTAAATGGGACCTTACCTGGGAAGAGGGTCTTTGCAGATGTCATTAAGCTACGGGTCTCAAGATGAGATCTTCCTGGATTATCAGGATGGACCCTAAATCCAATGACAAGAGTCCTTGTAAGAGGAAGGCAGAGGGAGATTTGAGATTGAAGAGGAGGCCGTGTGAAGATGGAGGCAGAGGTGGAGTGATGTGGCACAAACCAAGGGACCCCTGGGACCACCAGAAGTCCAAAGAATCAAGGAAGGATCCTCCCCTGGTGCCTTTGGAAGGAGCGGGGCCCTGTCAACACCTTGATCTCGGCCTTCTGGCTTCCAGAGCTTGAGAGGATGAATTCCTG